GATCATCCTCACGTTGAGTATTATAAGTCGAAATATCATACAATCGTTAGTCCACTGCGCTTCAGAGTTCATCGCCGCCGTTTACTGCTCTTGCAGCAGCTCTGATGTAAGCCTTTCACCGTACTTTGCTCTGTCATGCAACCCGTTGCGGAAGTCATCACTGATGAACTCACCGCGTCGGACTAGAATTACACAACTGTCACACTTTAAACGGACTGTTTGTTTAGAAAATCAAATTGTAACCCTTGCAAAGCTTTCACATCGATCCCACCTCTCTCGAAAATTTCAAATGCTGATTTACCGCTCTTTGAGCAAGTGATTGATATCTTCTGTTTCGACTTTTAAACAATTCAGATTTTCATGAAAGTCAAGTTATTATAATTACATCAAGAGTAGTATTAAATGGAATACTTGACATCTTAATGCGAGTATATGTTGGTTCACCGCCAAAATCTTCAAATGTTCTACTATATATGTGTTATTAATATATTCATTCTGATCAAAATCTTAGTGTATACCTTATAAAATTGATTGTTTGAATTAAATGAATTGTCATTGGATATAAACTTATGAGATTGCGTTTCCTTCAAAGGGCATGACAAAAGCTGTGCTTCTTCAGGACAAAGAAAAGAACGGAGGAAAGGCAGCAGTGTTGAATTGCGTGATTTTCTTACAGCAATCATAATTTGGTCAGGAGTTTATTGAGTGGGCACTGACAAGCGATTCTTGCACAAATCTGAAAGGTCAGTGAATCCTGTGGCCGACACAATCTGATTCTAGCCATGCTGATAGTCTCATGGTTTAGCACTATTCCGGGCACATATGTGTTCTTTACGGCTCCAGTTTCAGTCAAGCAAATCAACAGCTTCATAAGTCAAGGTGCGCCGAGGATCAGGGTGCAAAAGGAAGCCGGACGCCAACAGCATCGCAATGCGCACCGCGTTGCTGTGACTGACACCGCAGGCAACTGCCGAATGAGTAACCACTCAGTGAACCGAGGCAAACTGTACCATGTTCACTAAGGTTTCACAGTCATATCTAAAAATAACTTGAAAATATAACTCATTCAAACGCCAACGCGTAAGCAGACTGTTTATAATTGAGCGTTTCGTTTCTTCGTGGTCTCTGATCATGGCTTATGTCGGAAAAACGACTTTCTGTGAAGCTCGTGCCT